GAGCTGAAGAGGGTCATAGTCCCTATGTCCATAGAGGAGTTTCCTGCCTTGGTTGAGAAGGCAAAGACTGTGGAGAGATTGGAGGGTGTGGTAGCAGCGGCAAAGCTGCTAGAGTTCAGGAGCGATTATCTGGATCCAGGAGGGGAGACCAGCAGAGGGGACCCTATGACAGGCCTGTTCAGTCTTAGAGAGGTGTTGTCAGTAGGGGACCTCGTCCTGCTACTCCTCAGAGTGGAGCACCATCCGTGCGATGCTATAGATGTGGAGGAGCACATGTGGTTAGAGATTGTTTCCATTCGGGGAATGTTTGTTTCAGATGTGGCAGGCCAAGCCACCTTTCCAGAGATTTTTAGATGCCATTGACTCCATCTAGGAGTGCTTTGAGGCCACCTAGGCCTACAGCTGTAGGGAGAGTTTTCTCTTTATCAGGTGTAGAGGCTTCCACTTCATCAGATTTGGTGAAGAGGAAGGGGAAGGCAACAGGTGAGGATGTTTTATTCCTGTTTGATTCCGGTGCCACACATTCATTTTTTTTTCTATTGATTGTGTGGGAAGATTGGGTTTGTTAGTGTCTGCATTGCACGTTGATTGGTATGTGTCTACTCCGGCTTCAGTTTTTTGGTGACCTCGGAGATGTGTGTATTTTCACAATAGAGTTCGTCACTTTTCTCTGAAAAATTATAGGTATTTATAGACAGTTGTTTCTTAGGTTATGTCTTTTCATGAAGAGTTGTAACTCTCTATAATTTTTCAGAAAATAGGCTCTGGTAATCGATTACAAGACTTGGTAATCGATTACAACGGTTAAAGTTCAAAATGATTGAAACGTTGTATAATTCAAATTCAAATTTTGAAATTTTCTCTTCTGGTAATCGATTACAATAAAGCAACGCAGAAGCACCAACACAGAGACAGGAAGAAGACCTGGACGAAATGTCTACGTCTTTACTTCCCTTTGGAAAAGTAACACAGCTATTCCAAAGGACAAGTAAAGAGGGGCAGCTATAGACACCCAATTTCGTCCGAGGGGGCATGCAAATAACAAGATAGGACATTAGAGGGCCCAAAGGCCCAAACCAATTTTTTAGTGGCCCGGAACGGGCCGTTCCAAAATCGGAACGGGCCGTTCCAAAATCGGAACGGGCCGTTCCAAGTCCGGAACGAGCCGTTCCGAACCAATCAAAGTGGCTAAATTTTTACCTCGGAACAGGCCGTTCTCACTCCAGAACGGGCCGTTCTGGTTCCCTGGAACGGCCCGTTATGGTTCCCTGGAACGGGCCGTTCTGATTTTAGAACGGGCCGTTCTAGGGTACAAAAATGCCACACAACGTTCGGATTCAGAACGGGCCGTTCTGAATCCAGAACGGGCCGTTCCGGCCCACATCTGATGCCTATAAATTGGAATCTCGGCCACAGTTCTGAGGACCTCCAAAATTTCGTCCAAAGCTCCATAGAGCTCGAAATTTCTCCTTTTTTTCTCTCTCTCTCTCCTATTGTACTTCTTGAGTTTTGTGAGGCTTATTGTAGTGTGAAAGGTTGCCACAAAGCACCTAAAACCTCCATAGTTGAAGATCCAATAAAGCTTGTTACGAGGTATTACTCATCAATCTCTTGTTTTATCTTTCTCTTCTTTTATTTTACATTGTTATAATAAAAATAATCATGTAGATATTTTAGAGTCAATTGTTTAATCTAAATTTCAAGCATGTAAATAGTCATCAATAAAAGGGGATTTAATATTTATATTATTATTATTTATAATGTTAACTTCGTCATAGGGTACCGATTAAGGGCGTTGTAGGGGTGCTTAATACCTTCCCTACATGTAACCGACCCCCGAACCCAATTCTGGTTATCAAGGTCATTATTGGACTTTTAAAAACCTTTTCTTTTTCCAATGTTTTGAGTAAAATCACTACAATAAATGTTACATATAGTGACATACAAAAAGTGTCACTATAAGTATATTATATGTAGGTATATATCTATTTGGTATATAGCTACACACAATTTTAGTGTTGATTTTGAATGAGATTTAACAACATATTTTGTGTGTCACTATAGCTTATACCCACACTTTTTAACAATATACTAACATATATTATATTTATTATGTAGGTAAAAGTAGTTTTTAGCGACACTTATTGTGTCACTATAGGATGTGTGTCACTATACGGCAATTTCCTTGTAGTGAATATTGGTGGCGACTCCATGAACCTATTTTCAAAACCATTAATTAAGGATTAGTCTGGTATTCGGGCATTCCTTAATTGATGAGACTTTTAAAAGGATGTCTAAACCATTAGCCGCAAGATCAGAAATTTTCGGGTTGCGACAACTATGAGCCAGAAGTAGCTGATCAAAGAATACTAGCGTCAGTGAGTGAAGCTGGTGGGCCATGAGGTGGTCGATAATACTCACTAGGAGCCAGAAGTGGCTGATCGAAGAATACTAGTGTCAGCAAGTGAAGTTGAAGAACCAGGAGTGGTTGAGAATACTCGGGAAACCAGAAGTGGTTTAAGAATACTAGCGTTTGCGATTAAAGTTGAAGAACCAGAAGTGGTTGAGAATACCTGGGACCAGGAGTGGTCGTGACCTGGGTGGTCTATAATACTCACTGCGAGCATGAAGAGGCTGAACAAACAATACTTGTACTTAATTTTTTATCTAGTGGAACCCTTCAATTGAAGGAGACTAGTAGCTCAATTTGAGTGAACTAGTATAAAAACGTGCTCTAGAATTTAAATGATGTAGACGCACTTCATTCAGTTGGTTTTAAATATCGAAAACTTCATCCAATACCTATCGTCTATTAAAACTATATTTAAAAAAAAAACCACATGTGTTTAATTGATTATTCAAAAGAACGATTTTTCTCTTTAGAAATATTTAATCTGAGCAGATGATGAAATTCCTTAACGTAAAATGTTTTTGTTAAACCTATCTTGGGTAGTTCATATCTAATATACAACAACATCATTTTATAGGACAAAAGAAAGTCTTCTTGCGAAAAGATTTTGAAATGCCCTTGTTCACACTCAAACACATATTTAACCCCCCCTTTCTATGTGTTTATCTAACTTCACTTGCGTTAGTAGTATTGGAGTGAGATGATGATGTGATGATTTACTAAAATTGTTGATGTTCTTTTGTTGTATATATATATATATGTTGTTTCTTTTTTACTCTAGTTTACCCTTATGTGTTTCCATGTGCTTTGGATTGTAATGATCATATATGGTATGTGAGTAGGACAGGGATAGAACTGGAATGTTCTAGTGAAGGCCATACAGTGGCGTTGGAGCTATATTTTTTTTATGGGGATGTTGGAGTTGCGAGCAATCTCAAAGCGGAATTATTAGCTATCTTACATGGTATGAAGTTGGCATGGAGAGCTAACTTTCGCAATATACTTTGTATTTCTGATTCGTTACTGGCAGTCAATTTGGTGTTGGAACCATTGGATGTGTTTCATAAGTATGCTCCTATCATTTCTCACATTAAGGAGTTACTGCCATAGTCTTGTAGTGTTTGTGCTTGCCATTCTCTTCGAGAAGGAAACCAAAGTGCAGATTTTCTGTCAAAATTAGGGCCAAATTGTGGTGTTGCCATGCCTGAGGATTTACACCCGTTTGTGACGGCAGATGCGGTTGGAACAATGTTCCGTAGGATGTAATCTTCCTTTTTTTTTGTTTTCTTAGTTTTGGGTTAAAAAAAAAAAAACTAGTTATACAAGTGATCTATCATTAAAAATAAAAAATTTAACCATCATATGAATCTCAATTTCATAGGTTACATGTGTATCTACTACACTTTATTAGTTCCCACAAAAATTTGTATTTAATCTTTTCTCTTTCCCAAACCTCCTTCGGGGTTAACATTTTTTTAATCTTTTCTCTTTTATTTTTCTATTAAATTATACTTTTATTCTTTTATTTTACATTTTAGTTCTTTATTTATTAAAATATTTAATTTTATCTTTATCTTTTATATTTCGATCAACTTAGTCGTTTTAAAATAATAATATTTTTTAAATTTATGACATAATTTTAAATTAATTTTTAATTCAATTTTATCTTTATCTTTTATATTTCAATCAATTTAGTCGTTTTAAAATAATAATAATTTTTAAAATTATGACATAATTTTAAATTAATTTTTTATTAATTTGAGATGTGAAATTTGTAATAATAAATTTAAATATATAAAATTTATAAAATATAATTGATATTTAATTTTATAAGAATTATAAACATAATAAAAATCATGTAAAAATATGTTGTATAAGTAACTAGAAAATATTATGAAATTATAATTTTTAAATTTTCTATGTCTTTTAGATTTATTTTATGCTTCACATATTTGTAATATTTTTTTAATGAAACATTAGTTACGTTAACAATTTTCATATAAGTCAATCTTAATTATAAATCTTGAATATATAAAAAAATTTAAAATTAATCTCAAAATTAAAAATAATTATTATTTTATAAAAAAATTAAATTAATCTAAATTTAAAAGATAAATAATAAAATAATTATCTTAAAAATAAAGAATAAAAATAAATTTAATAAATAAAATAAAGATCAAAATATAATTTAATCTACTTTTTTTCCTTTTTTCTTTGTCTTCCCACATCTATCCCTACCCTTTTCTCTTCCATTCGCATGGCAGATTTGTAGGATCTCCATTCACGGCGGCGCCATAGTCGGAAAAAAGGGAAAAGAAAAAGAAAAAGCAACATAGAATAAAAGAAAAAATCTCTACCTTTGATTAGAAAAATAATATATCCAATGGTCACATTTCCTTTCCCACCCTAGAATCCCTCGAGAAGTGATATATGGTGCGGTAGATGCACATATAATCTATGAAGTGAGATTCATCCAACGGTTAAAATTTTTGTGCCACTTATCCTACCTTCAACATATTATCTTAAAGTTAAAATTAAAAACCATCAATATTTCTATTTAACACTCAAAATTAAATGATAAACAATATATAATTTAGCGGATAAAATAAAATAGAATATGACACCAGCGTCTGCGTGAGAGGGAGAAATCGGAGATGAGTTGTGTTGTGAAGGCATATAAATTTTAATTCATTGCCATTTTCTGCCACCATTTTGACCCAAAACCAATAGCCACTTTACATTACAATCAGAAGAAGAACCCATTTTCTCTTGTAACCAAAAAAGGAATTAGAAGCCATTCAATTCATCGTCGGAAAATTCCAGATCTCAAAATATGGACTTTTTGCAGAGTCACAGGGTTGAGATGATAAGCATGGCAGTTGCTCTTGTTGCCATTGTTGGTGGCACCGCCTACTATTACTATGTCACCAAGAAGCCTAAAGGTCTCTTTTTAGTTTTCTTCTCATTTTTTAATGTCACCAATAATTTGAAATTTTGATTGCTTTCGAAATGGGCTGAGTTGTATTGATTTCTCTAGAAATGGGTCCTAATTTATATTAAAAATATGTGGGTGTGCCAAATTCACACGTGACCTCTGAAGTTGCTAAGTGGCACCAAGGCTTTGTTTTTGCAAAATGATTTATCGTTGGAGAAATGTGATGTAACAGAACTCATTTGACGTATTAAGCACCTTTTTTTTCTATTTATTTTATAAAATGGGAAATTGTGATGCAGAAATTATTTCCACTTAGTAGTATCTCCATGAAGGAAAAGACATCAAAAAAGGGACCTTTTTAATTTATTTAATGGAAAGAATTTTTTAGTTTCATTTGCTCATAAATGCCAATTTTATTTGTTTAGTATTACTGTGTGTGTATAAACTTAAAGCTTGCATGTTAGTTCTTTTAAATTTGTTTGTCGTCTGGTAGTTTAACTTATAATTGCAATATTGTTGGTTCTTGCACGATATCAAAGTTAAGTTGGGATTTTTATCTTTTTTGTTACCCTCATTCTTATGATTAACAATTGAGTTTTAGCATAAAGTGGGTGGTGGGTCTATGCATTCTTGAGCCTTCACCTAGTAACTCAAGCTTTTGGAAGGAGTTGATTCTTGTCATCGACAACAATTCAATAAATAAAGTTTCTTTGTTTCTTGGTAGGGTGCTTGGATCCTGAGAACTTCAAGGAGTTTAAACTTGTTAAACGCACTCAACTCAGCCATAATGTTGCCACGTTCAGATTTGATCTTCCTACTCCTGATTCAGTATTGGGACTTCCTATTGGACAACATATCAGCTGCAGGTTTACATTACTATCACTTTACCTATTCATTCGATGACGCAGTCCCTAATTTAATTTTGGTCAGACACCACAACAAGTTTTTTGAGTTTCTACTTACTAGCTAACACTCAATGAATGTAGTTTGATGAATTATAATACATTCATCTTGAATGTCTTTGATCCTTGCAGAGGGAAAGATAGTCTTGGTGAAGAAGTTGTGAAACCATATACTCCAACAACATTGGATACTGATGTTGGATACTTTGAATTGGTTGTAAAGGTACCACTAAACTTTTTTTTTTTTTTTCAGTGTTTGATTATTGTTAATTTATTATATTGATTTTTGTTATCTGTATTCTTTGGATAATAATTAGATGTATCCACAAGGTAGGATGTCTCATCACTTTAGGGAGATGCGTGAAGGTGATTACATGGCTGTGAAGGGACCAAAGGTTCTAAAGTTTATTTCCCTGTATTTGTCAAAATAATTTATTATTAGATGTTATTCAATTAGCTTCTGTTACTATTGGTCATATTATCTTCTGTTACATATTAGCAAGTTTCGGATGCATTGTATTGAATTGGTCATATTGATAATCAAACAAGTTGTTACTCTAATCAACAATGTTGTTTATTGTAAGTGTATGTTAGACCTCCTATTACCCAAGTATACAATAGGATGAAGAAGCACATGAAGGAGTAGGGAACTATTAATTTGTGTAAATATGTATTGTTGTTAGGTGGGTGGAGAGAAGTTTGAGGAGTCTGCTATGGATGAGTTGGTTAAATAGAGTAGGGAAAATGTGGGATGGGGAGGGGGTGAGGGGGACTTGAGTAATTCTGGTGGTGAGAAGTTGCAGCCCCTCAAAGTGCTGCTTTACTATTTTTATTTTTACCACCTGTATTGATCATCTCATTGCATTGTTGGTCCAATCAATAACAGTGGGAATAACGGTGTCTTTAATTCCCGTAATTTAAAACCTAATAATGTTTCCTAAATGTATGTATACCTTGACTTGATACTCCTTGTCAGAACTCTTGAAGCATAACATTTCTTTCAAATGAAAATTGGATTAGATTTCTTTAATGGATTGAGTTGTGCAACTATTAGTCATTTGAACTTTCAGACCTCAAAATAACTGATATTATGTTTCTTTCCTCCTTATTCAAATTTAGATTTTGTGGTTGTGAAAATTTTGAATCCATAATCTTGTTTTATCTCAAACATTTGCACTACATCACTTATTAACTTCTCAAATTTAGAAGAAATCATATGTTCATATATTATTTTAATCATGAGATACATCAGATTTGTACATGAGCCTGTTGGCTATTTTAGGAAATAGGAACAGTCTATTCTAGGGGACAAATCCCTGTGATTGTGGGATTGTTATTCTAGGGAACAAATCCCTGTAATTGTGGGATTGTTTATAAATATACAAACCTAGTATTAATAGCAGATACAACAAATATAAAGAATTAAAATACAGTAGGAATAATATCTAAAACTTCCTAAAATATATTTTGACATAACTATATGCTTATTCCTACTCGTGCGTTTTCAATTATATCTTTAACATTATGAATGATTATTAGGTAAAGGTTTATGAATGATTTTATATTTTTAACAACAATGATATTCTTTGACATAGGAAATCCTTATATTCTAAAAATATCTAATGCATAATTATTTGCAATGTACTTACTCTAATATCTAATATCTTCAGGGACGTTTTAAGTACCAGCCCAACCAAGTAAGAGCTTTTGGTATGATTGCTGGTGGCACTGGCATCACCCCAATGTTTCAAGTATGTATAAGTAAAGGATTGCTGAGCTTCTATGCCTTCCTTTGATGTTTCAATTTCTACATTTTGGAACTTTGAATTAGTAATAATTATATATTTTTTCTTTTTCTTGAGGTTACAAGGGCTATATTAGAAAACTCACAGGACAAAACCAACATAAATTTGATATATGCAAATGTCACATATGATGACATTCTTTTGAAGGTAAAATCTTCTATCCATTCTTGTGCTTGTACATGTAGCATGTACCTTTGATATGTTTAGAATATGCTCTCAAATCTCAATTACTCAGCCATATTCATTTCCTTTTATTATTCCTTGAGTCAAGGAAAAGTCTTTAATGTAATATTTCTACATAAGCAGTACTTTTACTGCAGAATAATACATGAAAGTTTTCCCTATTTCTTTCTACAAATATTTTCCATGATCACCTATTGTTGAAAGAGAGAGAAACGAGAGGACATGTAAATATATCCTTGTGTATGAATCACAGCAGAAAATTTAGATATTAAGTGTCATAAGTCCAAGGATAATTACAAGACTATATAGTTAACATAATTGACATAATTACAACAACATATTCTGCCCTACTTCCAATATTACTATAATTGCATATTTCCAACACTCCGTCGAATTGGAACATATAAATTTTATGTTACCAAGCTAGTCAAATATATGACCAATTCGAGAGTTTCTCAATGATTGGGTGAAAATATCTGTGAATTGATCATTTGAATCTACAAAGCTAGTGATCATGACTTTGGATAATATCTTGTCTAATAAAATATTGAAATGACAATCTATCTCAATATGTTTGTCCTTCTAATGAAAGAACAAATTTAAGGCAATGCATAAGGCCTTCTAAATTATCACAAATGGGTGTCATCTATGTAGTCTTCCCAAATCTCAAGTCTTTAAGCAACTATTTCATCTAGATAAGCTCACAGATAGTTTTGATAGATTCCAACTGATGTTATAGAAAGATTGAGTAGTATGAAAAGAATTTTAGGTCTGAGCCTTGTATATTATTCAACAAAAGTCAGGATCAATACAACCAAAAGGAAAATATGATGAGGTATTCGAGAGACCTCTTCTCTCCTACAATTCTGTTATCCCCCCCCCCCCCCCCCCCAACTAACTCTCTTCCTTTTTCAATTTAAAGACTTATTATGTTACAATTGTGTCCCTCCTTCTATGCCTGCTGTAGACTCTCTTAACTATTGGTCTCCTATCAATACCCCCCCTAAAACTTTCACCTTGTCCTCAAGGTGAAAATCTAGAAAGTGATGTTGAATGTCCTCAATGGTTTACCATGAATTGTCACAATCAAGGAGCTACGCCCACTTTACTAGAACTTTTGTATGTCCTTGCTTGTTATAACGTAGAGCCAACACATACATCCTCCAACTGAGGATAAAGTTCCCAATCCTCTGTCAATGTTGCTGGTAGTTGTTGCAGTTGATATTTAGCACGAACTGCTTGCTTCAGCTTGCTAACAAGGAACACTGGATGGATCTTACAATAAGTAGGTAAAGACAATTTATAAGCCACTGAACCTACTTTCCCAATCCTCTTAGCTAAGGACTTCCATTTGTATGGGGAAGCTTTGAGATACACCCAATCTCCTTCCACTAAAGTCACATCCCTTCTATGCTTATCTGCTTTGTTTCTTCATCCTTTGTTGAGCCACAATCAAATTTTGATGTAACTGGTCAAGCACAACATCTCTATCTTCTACCAACGTATTAATTGCCTCAACAGTAGATGGAAAATTGAGACCTTAGTTTAAGATGGGTGGGGGTTCTCTTCCATATAGAGCCTTGAATAGAGTCATTCTTATGAAGATATTAAAGTTGGTATTGAACCATAATTCCGCCCAACACAAACATTTAGGCCAAGAACGAGGTTTATCCCCCCACAAAACAACATAAATATGCCTCAAGGCATCTATTAACTACCTCTATTTAGCCATCCGTTTGTGGGTGAAAAGCTGAACTGTACTTTAATTTGGTACCCGACTGTTTGAATAATTTTGTCCAAAAATGGCTGAGGAAAATTGTCTCTATCAGATACAATTGAAGTCGGAAAACCATGTAATTATAATACCTTCATGATAAACACCTCTGCCACCTCTTTAGCAGTAAAAGGATGCCCCAATACCATAAAATGAGCATATTTCGTTAACCGATCAACAACAACCATAATAGCGTCTTTGCCTTGCACCCTAGGCAACCCTCCAATGAAGTCCATAGAAATATCAGGCCATACCTTCGAAGGAATAGGCAATGGTTGTAATAAACCCGCTGGGGATAAGGTTTCATATTTATTCCATTGGCATGTACTGCACTTGGCGATAAATTGCTTGATATCACCTTTCATACCCTCCCAATGAAAAAAAAAACAGCCAAAATGCGCTTGTAAGTTCTAAAAAAACCTAAGTGGCCTACCTGAGGTGAAGAATGGAACTCTAAAAGAATCATAGGTATTCGAGAAAAATGCTTAGGTAGCATCAACTTATCCTTGTAGAATAATAGGTCCTTAGAAAAATTTGGAAGGGTCTCAAGTTGTATGGTGACCTTTTGTATAAGTTGTTTCATGCTTTCATCACTTGCGACTTCTTTCTCCCATGGCTCCCATTCAGCTAAATTAATCTTGACAAAACTAAATACATCATTTGTCTGGAGAGGGCATTTGCTGCTCTGTTTATACTTCCTAGTTTGTATTGCATTTCAAAGTCAAAAACAAACAAATTGGATGTCTATTTAAATTGATCCTCCCTCATAATTCGTTGATCAGTAAGAAATTTTAAGCTCTTTTGATCTGTTTTGATGATAAAATGCTGACCAAGGAGATAATGTCTCCATTTCTGTACTGACATTACAATAGCCATCAACTCTCATTCATAAGCTGAATTTTGTTGAGCCCGTGGTGATAATTTCAGGCTAAAAAATGAAACAGGTTTCCCCTCTTGTAACAAAACAGCCCCCACTCCTTTACTAGATGCATCTGTTTCAACAATAAATGGCTTGGAGAAATTTAGAACAACCAAAATTGGCAAAGAAGTCATTGCTTGCTTGAGCTGATTGAAAGAACTTTCAGCCTCTTCAGTCCACTTAAAACCATCTTTCTTGAGTAACTCCGCAAGAGACCTTGCTATCAATCCGTAACCTTTCACAAAACGCCTGTAATAGCTTGTGATACCCAAAAACCCTCTCAACCCTTTTACTTCTTTTTGGGTGGGCCAATTTACCATCACTTCCAACTTCTTTGGGTCAGCTGAAACCCCTCCACCAGGACTTATATGCCCCAAATATTCTACTTTTAAAACCCCAAAATCACACTTCTTTTTCTTAACTACCAATTTATGTTGCTATAACAATTGAAAAACCTTCCTGAACTGCTTCACATGACTTTCCTCATCCTTGTTGTATATTAGTATATCGTCAAAGAATACCAAAACAAATTTCCTCAAATATGGTTTTAGTAATGACTAAATATTCGTAATGACCCTCATGTGTTCAAAAAGTTGTTTTGGGTATATCTTCCTTTTTGTTATTCTAATCTGGTGATAGCCTAATTTAAGATCCAACTTGGAAAAAATTATTGCACCTGCCAACTCATTTAACAATTCATCTATTAGTGGAATCGGGAACTTATTAGGAATTGTGATCTTGTTCAATGCTTTATAATCCACACAGAAATGCCAGCTTCCATCCTTCTTTGTAACCAATATAATAGGGCTAGAATAAGGGCTTACGCTAGGCCTTATGATTCCTATTTTTGACTTGTTAGCTACTAACTTCTCAATTTCATTTTTTTGAAAATGAGGATACCGGTAAGGTCTGAGATTGGGAATAATTGTCCCTTCCTTCAATACTATTGTATGGTCTTGTCTCCTCTTTGGTGGTAACCTTTGTTCAACTTGGAATACTGCCTCAAATTCTTCCAAAACTTTTTATAGTTGCTGGAATCTCATCGTCTCCTGCCTTTTCTGGTTGGAGAAGCAAACACTCCACTATAAAGCCTTCATCCCTTTCTTGTAATCCTTGATAATGTTTTTTTGCTGATACTTCACCTTTGCAAAGGGTAGGGTCACCCTTCAATGTATATTTGACTCCATCTTTCTTAATTCTTAAAGTTGGGTCTTTGAAATTTGTTCTCATATCATCCATATCCTCCAACCATTCCATTCACAAAACTATGTCCTCCCCATCCAAAGCAAACACATAAAAATCTGCCTTAAATAACATGTTCTGCGTCTTCATTTGTAGGCCCTTACACACTCCACTGGTTTTAATCCTTTACCCCCCTCCAACCTTCACATAATAAGGTATCGTAGGTTCTATTGGTAGCCTTCAATTTTTCACCAATTTCGCAGATATGAAGTTGTGTTGCGCCTGTTGCCCAACTATCGACAAGCACCAACACTTTGTTTTCCAAGATTTCTCCCCACATCATGAATGATTTTTTTGATGCCACCCCAGCCATGATACACAGGGTTAGATTTTTAAATTGTCCCTCCCAAACAATCTCTTCCTTCTCCCTGTCACCTTCTTCCCCTATTTCACCATCCTCCATGATCATGATCTTAAACATTTTGTTTTTGCATACATGTGTGGGGAATATTTCTCATTACATGTAAATCAAAGACCTTTCCTCATCTTCTCATGATATTCCTCATTAGGCAGTCACCTCAAACCACTAGGAATTTTACTCCTTTCATCTACAATTGCTCGGTTTTGTGTTCCCTCCTTATTTCCTCCATCATTAGATTGAAGCCTACTATTTCCACCAAACACATTCGGCCCAAAATTAATGCAACCATCCGTTGGTTGGTTTGTTCTCTGGTTTCCCCCACTACGATTTTGGAATTGGGTTTTGTGATGGAAATACTAACCTTTCTTATTGCTGATCCCATTCCTTTCATCAATTAGTAATGCAATGTCCATCATCTCCTTCAATGAAGAAGGCCTATGAATCCTTACTTTTGCTTGAATCTCCTCCTTGAGACCATTAGCAAAAATCCCACTAAGTATTGTGGCTAGTTGATCTTTAATGGGTTTGCCAATACCTCGAATTGCCTCCTATATTCCCTCACAGAACCTTCTTGCTTCAACCCTAGCAGAATTTCAAATGAATTCTCCACCATTGTCGGTTGAAATCTTTTCAAGATTGCTTCTTTAAATTCTTCCCACCTAATATTCTCGATGCAAGATTCCCACCATTGTAACCAAGAAAGTGTTTCTCCTTCAATTGCCACAAGAACAACTTCCAATTTTTTCCTGTTCATTGATGTTTCTCAAGCAAAAGTATCTCTCGTTTCGACCTATCCAACCAAGTGCATCTTCTCCTTCGAAAATGGGTAATTCCATCTTCCTAAATCTCTCCGCAATCTCTTAACTCATTGAATTGGAACTACCGCTACCTCTATGGTTCAAGTTTTCCCCATGCCTGTTTCCTCCGACATTGGCACTAGTGTTGTTGTTTGTCCCATTTGCCCCTAAATTAGGGTTACCTTCACGATTACCCAACATATCGCAAATTCTTTGTAACAATCGATCTTCCATCTGTTGCAGTGAAGCTTGTGTTTTTCCCTCTGATTCATGAAGTTCTTGCTCCAATGCTTCGGTTCCTGCGTCCATCTTCTAGCAAACCATGAATTTCGTGGATGGATCATTCAACTATTGGTCTCCTATCAAGTTTAAGTCACAACTCGATACTCCACTTCTTCAATAGATCTTGCAAACTACACTTTGTTTCTTGCTTTTCCAAGAAGTCGGATCATTTACCAATAAAGATGCATTAACCAAGAGTAGACCTTTTGTCAGTGGGAGAGTTTACTTAATCTGTATTCCAAATACCCTACAACTTGAGTATGACCTTTGTGTTTATATCAAAGATCTTTTGCTAGAGCTTCTTTAATATATTTCAAGATGCAGATTATTGCATCCTATTGTATTTCATAGGGAAAATGAAGAAATTCACTCACGACACTGGCTTCTAGATCAGCAATAGTTAATTAAATAGTTCAGTTTCCCAATCAGTTTTCTTTTATACCTTTCTAGGTTTAAAAGTGGTTCCCTTATCTTAGCAGAAGTTTGAAATTAGGATCCATAAGAGTATCAATAGGCTTATCATCCATCAATCCTGTTTCCTCTAGGGTGTTCATTGCATACTTTCTTTGGAAAATTGCAATGCCATTCTTGGATTGTATCGCCTCTATCCCCAAGAAATATCAGTGTCTACCAAGTTTTTATTCTGAAAGTGGAGACAAAGATGTTGCTTTATCCGTGCAATGCCATGGTGATCATTACCCACAATGACAATGTCCTTGATGTACACAATCAAGTAAATGCACCCTGTGATTGAATGACAATACATAAGTTAAAGTCATGTGAAACTACTGGATCATAGAGCTAAATATGCTAAACCATTCCCTAAGGACTGTTTGAGACCATGTTAGGGGTTTCTAGAGAAGACAGACAAAATAACCCTGTGATTGAATGACAATACAGAACTGAGTCATATGAAACTACTGGACCATAGTGATAAATCTGCCAAACCATGCCCTTAAGAACTGTTTGAGTCCATGTAGGGATTTCTAGAGAAGACAGACAAGTCCTGAAGACTCCTCCTGAGCAACAAATCTGATCATCTCGGTGTTGGTTACAAAGCATGAAAAACTCCATCCGTGATCATTTAGAATTTCACCTTAACCTTCATCGGGTAGGGGGTGACATCCAGCCAGTGCCATCAGCATCATCTAAACTATCATCCACCACATACAAACTAGAAAGAATATAAAGAAGAAACATAGACGTAAGAATTCACATTCAACTATCAGATGAAGGAATATGAATTAAGTCTCAGTAAATGACATTAATTTCATATGTAAAATCACCCATGATTAAGTAACATAGCATATCTGTCTGCAATTTACAAATGCAGTGAGACTCAATTCAATGGAGTTTGGTAACATTATTTGGGATATTTAGCAATTAGGAGTTAGGACACGTAACTTTTTGTATCTCAAGACAGTAAACTATTGGTTTAATGAGATCAGATATCCTTGCACCTCCTGGAAAAATACTCTACACTGATCTAATATAGCACAGTGACTTGTCTGGATCTGTAATTCTTGGCTGAATCCACTGATAGAGGAGTGAACGTCTGATTACAAAGGAAATCTCACGCATTTCAGTCTCTAAGATAATATTTGAGTAGTTAGGAGATCTTGATGTTGTAGCTACTTGATGAATTGTCATAATGAGCTGCAGCTTCATCTTATAAATGCATAGCATCTGTATTCATTTCACAATTTTATTCAATCAATACAATGACTTTCCTTTTCTATGGAACTTCTCTCCTCTACTTTGAGCTCTATGATTTGTGCACATCAAGTGAGTATTAAAAGTATCATCCATCGAAATTCTGATAAGAATCTTTTAAGTTTATGTATGGAGATGTTAATAAATGATACATTAAACAAAGAATGCACTATATATGTAAATCTTATGTACCTAAGTCCTTTATCCTTTGAATATTAATTCATCGAACAGAGAAATATCTTTAAAATTCAGTTGAAGTAATCACAAACAGAAAATAAGAATGGAATATATAGACTACAGTTCATAATTCTCAACTCAACCTTGTTTTGTGATGTAGAAATTACTGATTTTGTTCAATCTGTATCTTGAATTTTATTTATTTTTTATATAGGAAGAGCTGGATGCTTTTGCCATTGCTTTCCCGGATCGATTCAAAGTTTATTATGTTTTAAATCAGGTTAGCTAACTCTTTACTTCTAATGCCATTTCATATCATTAGGCCTATTTGTTTCAAAATAGCTGTCTTAATCTTTGCTTGGTATTATTCCTTCATTTTCTGTTTTCTTATTTTGTGAATAAATATTCCTGCAGCCACCAGAAGTATGGGATGGTGGTGTTGGATTTGTGTCTAAGGAAATGATCCAAACACATTGCCCTGCACCAGCACCAGATATTAAGGTCATTTTTGCACTACATATCCTCCCACTCTCAAAGTTAAGATTATAACTGAACTGAATACTTCTTTACAGATGCTAAGGTGTGGACCACCTCCAATGAACAAGGCTATGGCTACTCATCTTGAAGCTCTTGGATACAGTCCCCAAATGCAGTTTCAGTTTTAAGTCTTGAATAAAGCTTGCTATATTACATTTTTAAAACTATACAGATAGCATTTCGAATCCAAAATGTCAGTATTTGGGCACTTTTGGTGTTTTATTTCTAGATTTGACAGAATATGCACTAATGTTATAATCTAGATTTGAAATTTTACGCATTAGGGTTGGTTTAGATAAACTTAACCCTAAGTACTTATTTATGGGAGGAAAAAAGGAAGAAAAAATGAAACAAGCTTCTTTGAGTCAAAACTAGCTTATGCAATAATTTTTAATTTTTTTAGAGAAATTATATGAAAGAACTTTTACAAATTAGCTTATGCATAAGCTATTTTAATTTATAAAAAAGTTTATTTTATTTTTTCTTCCCTTTTTTCTTCTAAAAATACTTATAGAAAAGTTATTCAAACAGACTTTTAGTTCATATTAAAGTTTTGATGGCGTACACTTTAGTTTGTACGCCTTATATATCTTGTATGTTCATGTAGAGGTTCGTGTGTTATCTTTGTATATGACTGAATAGCTAACACTTCGTGTTCCAAGTTCTATATATTACTAGATGTTGACGTACGCCAGATCAAAGTTATTTAATATTAAATAAGTTGTGCTTATTTTGAAAAATGTTTGGGTTATATTTTTAAAACCATTGTGTATGTTCATATATAGGTTCATGCTATCTATATATGCAAGTAGAAACTATCTTTTCAACTTGCCAACAGGGAAATCTTCAATTACATGATAAAATTAGAATCAATATCTAATATCCATATTGGCATGTAATTGAAATACTCTATAAAATTTGGGACTGCAGGTTCACTCATAGGTAGGAATGGCCCATAGGGAAAAATTAATAAACAACTTAAAATAATTATAAAAAAAAACACTTTAGCTATATTTTTATGCTAATTAATTCTTTAAAAATAGTAGTTCAAAGGTCAAACTTTAGATTATTCAAATATTCCATACAAATATATTGATCAAGATTATTCATTTTGGAAGTTAAATTTAAATGCTAAAATAGTTCAATTTTATAAATGTAAAAAAAAATCAATAATTAAAATAATTGAATTCCATAAGTATGAATAAAAGTTAATAAGCTATAATATTTAAATTGCATAAGTCCAAACAAAAGTCAATAATTAATCCTAAATAAATTTAAATAAAATTATAAATGTCAATAAAATCACATTCAACATGTTATATATTTAAATAATTTTATTATAACAGATATTTAAGGAATACATGTGAAGTGAATCGAGTACTTTGACACTCATTTATGTCTTCATTTATTAACATGTACAAATATAACTATTTATCTGTGGGTAATCATACATAAATATTTGTGGGGATAAATATTTTTGCCATCTGATAAATGTTTTGAAGAATCTATTAAAAAAACAAAAAATGTTTTGAAGAATGAAATAGTCAACTCCATTTGGGGTAACTGAGGCAAGTTACATGTTATATAGGAAGAGAATCCCCGCGGACCAGAAAAAGATATATTTTTTCCGAAATTCATAATCTCACGACAAAAATATCAAAATATAGAAGAAAAATATTATAATTTTTTTACAAAATTCATAATCTCACGACAAAAATATCAAAATAAAGGGTGTGTTTGTATATTTATGTCATTGACTCAATTTTAACACACGTTTAGTAAAGAGAATAGGAAAAATTAGTAGGATAAAGTAGTAAAATTAGTAAAGCTTTATTCTCTTTTTTATTTATTAATTTTTCTTTATTTAAAGAAATTGTATTATGGGAGCAACACTTATATTATTTGTTGGGGGGGGGGGGGGGG